GGGAACATGTCGCTCTGGTATTTTCATTTCGCGGCACAGGTGAACGGAGCGCGTAAATTACCCGAATAGTCGGGCCTTTTATTGCGTGCCGGCCTGTCGGGCCCACGAGTACTAGAGTCCGTCCACTTAGCCGAGATGGGGAAAAGGGTACAACCGAATAAATATATCCAAACACGTTTACTGCTGACGTTTACTTAGCCGACGATGGGAAAACTGCCTTAACATATAAATTATGTTTTAATTAACTAACAAAATATATTAAAAACTACGTTCCCCAGAAAACGGTTCACTTTAACTGGAAAAATAACTTTCGTGGAGCAATTAATTTGTTAGATTTAACGACAGGTTGATTGAAAGTTACCAGGCTATCATAACTGCGTGGATGTCCCCATTAGCAATCTATAGTCAACTAATCAGCGGTAATCCCCTGAAAGCGCACTAATCTACAGTGTCGCGCTGCACGTCCGACATAGTCTAGCCTACACTTAGATATAGCCATCCATTGTGAGCCTCTGATATCTATCTAGTCTTTGTTTGAAACAATTCGTAATTTCTAAATCAATCAAATAAATTAGAGGAGCATTCTAATATTTCTATTCAAAATTGGGGGGTTAATATAAAGAAATAGTTATTATTTAATTCTACAGATTAATTGAATTCAAACAATATTATGAGATTTTAAGAAAAGAACAACGCAAGGGAAAACAGTTCCGTCCCCGGAGGTATGAATGAAAATAAAATTAGAAATTCAAATCCAGCGACTCCTTATCAATTACATGTACTAGGAGACCAACAATAAGAGATAGCTCGCTCCCATTCTTTGTCGAATTTGCATCTTCATACAATGGCAATTAGGGGAGCGCTCATTAATTCGACAGGGTCCCAGAGGCGAGGCGGTTTCAATTTGACGGAGCCGGTATACAACCTTGTGCGAGTAACGTGATTACGGGACATTTGCATGAATTTTATGTGCTCTCGGTGTGTAACGAGCCGTTAACTTCAATATCGAATTTGAATACACTGTCTGTCTTATTGTTTATAGCATTTTCTGGGAAGCCCTTTGCGGGAGGGCGAAACGGGATATACAATACTGCTGTTGTTAGGAAAATCTTTTATTTTATGGTTATTTTTCGTACATATTGTGGCAAAAATCACTACTGTTGTTCTATGCTATAACTTAATTTTGCCCGTAATAATTATTGGCTGTTAAGTTAGCTTGAAAGTGTATTGAACAAACGACTACATAATCTTTTACGGCCTCTCCGCGGAGTCAAAAACGACTCGATAAAATATTTACAGGAGGCATTTGTCCTAATGCGCCATAGAGAGCAATCAACGCGGATCTAGACACCTGTTTACACGAGGGGACCACACAACCCTTCCTGGGGTTACCCCTACCACGATATACTACCGTATCGCATTACACTATACATTGCTCGTTACGTATGCATCGAGCTGTTTCCGAAAGACGTTCGAGAGGTAATGGATAGGAATTTTGGATATTATGTAGGATTTAGCGTAATGCGAAAAGGATGATGGGGTTTATTGAGTAGGCAATCTCGAGTGTCCTACCGGAGCGATTAGGAATGAATTTTTAATTGGTTAATCGTCTTTGTTTAAGTTGCTTGACCAATTAACTTGTAATGGGATGAGCAGGGCCAGGACTTTCTATACAATGGGAACAAAACGGATATCGCTTGGGGCACGCTTTGAATTACTACCTCATTGAAATAACAAGGGTAAGCGATTTTTACGTCATTAAAGATATAAAAAGTGTAATTTTTGCTTATATTTCTTCAATAATTAACTAATTTGTAATGTATCTTACTAATATTATAAATGCGAATGTTTGGATGTATGGATGGATGGATTTTTAAAAGGAATCTCCAGAACGGCTGCATGAATCTGGCTGAATATTTGGCAAAGATATGGAACATAGTCTGAAAGAACAGATATGCTACCAATTATTTTTTTATTACAGTTTGTCTAGTTATGTATCGTTTACCACTTTAGTGGTACCTCTGACCACTTTCTTAGGCTTTTATAGTCGTGAAGTCTGTTCACACGAGTCAACACCTTTCAACTCTTGAACCGCGAAACGAAGTTTGATAGCAGCACTTATTCTAATCATTTTTTTAATACCTTACGTCAATCATATAATTTAAATTAAACAACAATTTAAGATGCATGAGCTGTCAAACGGAATCATATTTTAATAGCATATAATTGTATATTAATTCCGCGTCGCTTTCTTAAATATATCTCGATTGCCTTCAATTATCTAAGATAATAGAGAGAAAACATTGCATTGTAATGGCTTAGTGTGGGGTGACCATAACTATACATCAGCAAAATAACCTGTAGCCTAAAAGTTTTCGATTTAATATTACTATTTTCTAAACAATCGAGTTTGATGTGTAAAGTTTTTAAATTAACCAGTATTAACTGTCGCCCGAATCCAGTTACGCGGAATTAATAAAAAAACTTCAGTAGCCTGTTCTTCCAAACTATGTTCTACATCTATGCCAAATTTCAGCGAGATCTATACAGCTGTTCTAGAGATACCTTCGAACAAAAATCCATCCATCTATCCCTCTAAACATTCGCATTTTTAATATTAGTAATTAAAAATAGACATTTATTTAAAGATGAATACGGTTTAGTTATGTTGTCCTGGTAATCCGAATGGCGTGGTAACCGTGGTATAGCGGCACTCAGGCGAGAATTGTGAGCGTCTGGACCTCTGACCTCCGCGCGACCTCTGAGAGCCTGGTAAATGTTAATAGTATGTATGCGGCGTTACTTTGCGGTCTAAGACCCCCTTTCTGTTGTTTCTTCAATTATTTCACATCGCCTGTCAGTAAACTTAACGTAAAGATGCATCTTGTATGACGAGTAATTAACTTTTAAATTACTTTTTTTTTCATTTAAATTGAGAACTAAACTTCGTAAGAAAAATGCATCAATGGAATTTTAATTTGACCTAAAAATATATTGTTAAGTTGCAATAAGTTTCTTATAAAACTAACTGTCGCCCGCGACTACGTCCGCGTGGATATAAAAAACTTAATTAGTGTAGGCCACCCACCCATCCATCCATCCACATCACATCCATCTAAACATTCGTATTTATAATATTAGTAAGTTAAATAAAAAGCAGTTCTTTAAGGCATAAATAAAAAAAAGTGAGTAAATAGTATCCTATGTCCGTCTCCTGGCTCTAAGCCACCTCCTCACCAATTTTCAGGCATATCGGTAAAGCCGTTCTTGAGTTATAAATAGCGTAACTAACACTACTTTCTTTTATATATATAATAGAAGATTAACTTTATTATTTAAGAACATTTTTGTATGTATAATCCTATCTTTTCAAAATCTAATATTAATCACTTTCAAGTACTGAATACTGAGTAAAACCATTTAAAATAACTAAATATACTTCACCTAGAGAGCGTCTGATTGGCACTGTACAATTCAAAATAATATTGTAGAGATCATTAAGGCGCAAGTTCCCAGTTGCATGGAGAGGCTCTCAAAGCTTCATTAGTTGTCCGTTGGACTTCGATATCTTATCACAATATATAGCGGCTTAATCATCAAGGTATTTTGTCGTCCGCTACTTGCCTCTTGTGAAATCTTCCAGTACACATCGTGGGAAACTTTGTATGGTACAGCTCAGATAACTTATAATAGAAGTTTTTGTTTATTTGAATTTGCGTTATAATATTCAATTTAAAACTTAAATTTGATATTCGTTTGTTTTTTCATTATACACAAGTGCTTGAAATCTTACTAATATTATAAATGCGAATGTTTGGATAGATGGATGTTTGTTTGAAGGTATATCCAGAACGGCTGTATGGATGTCGCTGAAATTTGGCATAAATGTAGAACATAGTCTGGAAGAACACATAGGCCACTAACTAAGTTTTTTTTTTAATTCACTGCAGACGGAGTCGGGGGCGACAGCTAGTACTGATTACATTTGGTAATGCTACCTATGCATCCATCGATAGATTATTTTTGTCCAAAGTTGTTCTAAGAACATAAATGTTATTCAGTTTAAATTACGTAAAGGCAACAGAACAACAAAATTTAATGTTTAAAGGATACATAAATATCCCTAAAGGTTAATGTTATCTTGGAATCAATACAACGCATATAACCTAAAGATGCACTTTACAATACGGACAGGGGACAAGCTGCATTATGCGACGTATTGCAGAGAAAAGGTTGCCACATTAAGGACACCCAAATCCGCCATAGCTAGAATTATAAATAAATCGAATTGCGAAACAAGCAAGGATGGTTCGTTCCATTTGCGGGGACGATGGCCGTCCGCAGTATGTCGCGCGTTTTATTAGCGCGCGTCAAATGCACGCCTACACGATATGCACGTGCGTCGATGTAACTGGCCTTATTAGGGCAACAGGAATACGAATCATCGACATTTACAAACGTCATAAAAAGGAGATTTGTCTGCCTTTAATGATTTGTTTGATAAAGTTTACTCTTGAATATTGTGTAAGAAACTTATTTAAAAGACCTTAAGATTTCTGCATACACAGCATGCCTAGTCGGAGTATGCGCAGGCGCAGGCAAAATTCTGTTTCCATTAGACGCATTTAATGTTGCGTCGCGATCGAGTGTCGTAAAATGTGTAATTTTATTACGTCGTCTTTTAACATAATCATGTGATTCCCATACCAGGCTAACAGGGCTCTAGAGGTGTGTGAACGGTTTCTCTCGGCTTGCGAAACTAAAGGATAGTTATCGATACTAGATACGATATACAAAATAGAATTTATTTTAGAACTCTTGCCATTTCTTATTTACTGACTCTCTCTTTTAGCATGACGTGTTCATAAATTATTTAGTAATATCCAAATAAATGTACTCACCAATTATTTACTTGTAGTATCGTTAACCCTGTGTCCTGTGCTAATTGTTTCTTCTGGTCCTCCGAGGGGTACGGGTGCTGAAACAAAATACAATCGCATTACATTTCTAGGACGAATTTATATGACATCTAATAATTTACTGTGAATTAGTTATAATAATAAAACGAAAGAACAATATTAATATCATGGTCGATTTATTTTTACCTATACACATTTATCTCGTACATTTCAAGACCATTAAGGAGATAAAATTAATTAAGAAAAGTTCAGTTTCTGTTGCAGAAACAAAAGAAAAAAGTGAATATTGATTTTTTTTAATGGTAACTTCTACATAAATCTTTTTTTTTAAATAACCATAAATATCTACAAAACGTTTAAAAATAAAGAAGATTGAAGATTTTCTTTTATTCAAACGGGATATCATTTTTATCGGGTCCCAAGGACAGGTAACCACCGGGGCGGCATGACTCACATGTATGTAATGTTATTGGTTTTGCAGCGACGCGGGGTCCCCGGGAGACCTCCGCTATTTCATCTCGCCCTGGTAGCCGCAGGTAGCGTACGTGTGTGTAAATTATTAACCTGCCCCGGTTCGGTCCCCGGTCGATACCCGGCTGTTCGTGGTTACATGACTAACTTTAACTGAATAAGCTTCACTTTAATTTATTTTCAGTCGTGTTCTAACTTTGAACTAGCCACGGTTACTCTACTACGATCTGTCGAAAATAAATTGATCCTAGCGTGTTCTTACACCCTATCAGAGATATGTGTAATTTGAATTTCATAAGCACAATTCCTATACGATATCTTGTAGATATCGCTATTATTTTTAGTTATCAAATAAGTACTACGAGTAGTGGTTTATCCTCACAGTGTATTTTAATTTCTATATGTATTTATTTACGTTATGAAGCACACGAAAGTATGTTAATATTGCACTAAACATAACGCCTAGAAATTCTGTTCAAAATCTATAAAGCAATAAACGGGTTATAAAAACTATTATAAATATTCAGCCGACGACTGGCTAGATGAGCTATTTGTCATTTCTTACGTAAACATTTTACGGCCGGGTTTTTTAAAAAGATATGTTTATTTAAAGAGACATGATTTAACATGTCCGAGACGGCGCCGCGTTCGGAGTAAATCACTGAAAAATATCGGCCGGTGCCTGTGCGTTGCCAACAAAAACAAAAGGAGGGAAAAGGCGCGAGATGACGCGATAGCGCGCCTCCCAAGGAAATTGATACGTCGACCGTCGCCCGCGCCGGTGTGCGCCCGGCACGCCACGCCGTGTCCCGCACAGCGCCATTGTCCGCGCGCCTCTTATGATTTATGAGTCCCTGGTCACCTGCGCGCACAAGATTCTAAACACTAAATCCTAACTATAGTGGACGTATTTGTTGAAATGCAACCACATTAACTATTTAAAATACTGTGGTCAATGTAGATTCAAAATACACACAAATATTTGGAATAAACAACCATCCGTCATATCGGTTGGGTCCCACCGATTAGGGAATATGACAAATTGAGCTGACCAACGAAATCATGATTCATAAACGTATCGCCGCACTTAGCGGTCGAACTAATGATACTTTGAAATGTGTTTTGTGCGCCAGCCGCTCATTATTTTATTGTGTAGGAACCTGCCTCCTAAAATATCGCGCTTATATTTCAAGTGTAATTAAAAATTTAATAAAGTGTATTTCACAATCTTTATTAACAGATCGTGGTGCCTAGCTTCCTAGACGATATCTTAATTATGCAAAGCAAGTAGATAACGTTATTAAATCGGCACTAAAACACCGCGATTCCAGCTCCATCGTCGTTCCCTCGCGTCGAACTATAAACGCGTGTAATTTAGTGCAAATCAAACATAAAGGAGGTAATGTTTACCGCGCTAAAAGTCACCTGAAAGCCTTCCCAGGAATCGTTAAACATCGACCCCGTAAATCCGAATGCGCCGAAGCCTCTCGTAAAATCTTTGTAATAAAAATAAAAGCGTATGGCGCATTACACCAATTCCCCGATGCGCTGGAGTGACTAAATAATGTATTCATAGTGTGAATTACACGGAAAGTGTCTGCGAGGCCGCGGCATCGGCAGGGGGAAGGTTATGGGGCGAATTATTTCGCTCTCACTTGACGCGCGGATCGTAAAACAATGATGTTTTCGTCGTTTTAAAGTCGAGCAGCCATAAAATGTTATAATAAACAGTTTGCGGTACAACGCGGCCGATCTCGCGCTTCCCCGATCTTACGTCGTTAAATGATTATTGAATTAAGATGACCACTTTTACAACGTGTCAATTATAACCAAAGATAATATTATCTTTATAACGACAATTTAATGCTTCTTTAATTGAAAATTTTATTTTGTAAGACGATATCAGAAAGATTGCTACTGACCTACATTCTCGTTTAAATGTACATTGACTTAACCGTAGCTGGTTTTATGATTTCAACTAAAAAGTTACTTTTGATAATTTTAAGATTAGCTCAGAATTATTTTCAAGCTCAAAACGTTTACGGGATTAGTGTTGAAATACATAAAAAATATTTTCTTTTTATATCATAAAGGTGGCAAACGGACGAGCGGCCACCTGACATCACTGAAATAGCGAATTCGAATCGAGGAATTTCTTTCACTTCACGCCTATCTGTGTGGTTGCGGTATTGCACTGGGCGGACCGTCCAATTCGTGCAAAGATGTTAAAGCGGACTCTACCACTGTTGAGTTTATAGAATTAAACATTAATGTATAAACAATTAATTAGATTTCAAAGTTTATTTGACCAAAGGATGAATATTATTCGTATAACGTGCGATGTAATTCCTAATGTGGGGAATTATAAACAAAAAGAAATAGAGATGGTTGTCTGAGAATAGCTCGCCGGTGGTCTCCCGCTCTGTTTGTTTACAATTAGCCGGGCAATCGATCGGGCATCGGTAACGCTAATGCATTATGATATTTGTTATAAGCAGGATGTTTTGTTTTGGTTATGCGTTGTCTTCGATCGGCTTAATGCAACCGACCTCCTGTGTGTTCCAGCCACGTACGCGAATTATATGATTAAAATTGTGACTGACTACTGAACATGCTGTGTGTTTCTGACTTTTTTTGCATATTTTACGTTCATTTAAAAAGTATGTCAAGTAAGGGTAAAAGTAAACATTTTTGAAAAGCAATATAAGGCGAGGGAGGTCTAGCGTTACTTATTTGGATGTTCTGTACAGAGATGTTATCTCAAGACTCAGTGGTCCAGTGGCTGCGTGTCTCTGCGGGTCGAAGTTTCTGGAGCGCCGCGCATGTCTCGAATATCGAAAAAACATTATCAGAAATTTATGAAGCCTATTACGGTGTACACAAAAACCGGAAAATGATAAACTCTCGGCCGCCTCCGGCCGGCTAACGGGATTTGTCAAAATTATACCAGGGGCTGAGGTTTTTTGCCGACTCGGTGCCCACCAATTATTTTTAACTAGCGATCGACTGCGACTTGCCGAATATAAACAGACACGAAAATTGACCCCCGTCCGAAATGATTTATTAGCGATTGTTTTTTAATTCAGACGGACCTCGTAGACGGACGGAGTGGATGCGACGACGACGAGGTCGATGCCCTTTGTTCGTTTTTGACATGAAATAAACAATAGATTGAGAGGCACAAAAAACCACATGAAGTTGACTGAACTTCATTTTATATTATGTCGTCTTTTACGTAACAACAAAAACAAATAATATTTGTTTCTCTAATCTGTTCTTTACACAATTTTGAAAAAGATTAACGACCATACAACGTCGTCGTACAAACGGGTGTAAGTTTAAATTTCCAGTCGATGGTAGGCGAGGCAAGGCGAGGCGAGGCGGGAGGCAACGAGCCGTCATAAACTCTATTGAGATATCAAATTTCGAAAAGCAATCCCGGCTCGCTCTCATCCGGCCAGTAAATCACCGGCGCGCATTAAAATCACGATTATATCGGGCATAAGTTTGCAATAAATCGGGCATCGGGAGTGAAAAACCCGCGCCCCTGTGACGCGCTCGAGGAAATTTCGCCTCGCGGACTATAAATTTTGTTTCGCAGCGTCGAAGAGAAACAATCCATTTGTTGGCACCTAAATCCATGGGGCGGTGGCGGCGGGGAATATGTAAATACGAGTAGGCAGCGGAGCGTGGCATTGCGTGGAGCTGACGATCAGAGCTAACACCAATTTCTTTACAGTATTATTTGTTTATTTCAAGCATCACTTACATACAGTTAGTTATTTTAAAATTTGTAAATTGTAGGATTAACTGTGTATGTGTTTCTTCAGTTTAAGGCAAACTACGACCAATTCCAAGTAAAATTCAAATCATTATTTAGTCATTTAACTCGAGTCTTAGCTGGAGATTTCCCTAAGGAATCACACGTTTTGTATTTCCATTAATAAACAGAGCGTGTGTGAACACAAAACAGAATATCTCACACGAAAAAAAAATTATCTTTGGAGACGATGAAAAATTCATTCGCTTGCTGCGATCCGAAAGCCGAAATTCCCTAATGATATGCGCCGACGTAGCAGTGCGGTGCGATGCGACGCGATGCTACGTATATATTACAATTTCGCTCGGAGTTGCCATAACAATGATAATATATTCAGGGCCCTGGTGACACTCGCCTGCATCAACGCGTATCTCCTAGGAGAAAAGACGAACGGCCGAGATACATTGCCGTCAATTTAACTGTAGTCTGCACCGGAGTATTCGTCTTTAAGTACTCATTACCTGTAACTCGATTATAGTGCGAGAAACACAAGACAAAAGTGTGTGAACGTGTTTTTAAAACATACGTACATTGTGATTTCATTATTAGCGTGTTTAGTTTGTAAACAGTTGAACACGTAAACGTGACGCAGCGTGTTGATGGATTAAATTTTTTCCCGGCGAGACACGCCGCGGATTGAGTGCTAAATTATGCACACTTCACTTTAGCCCGTTACCGACGTGACGCAAAACTAACTCCTGTAAGATATTTGTTTCCTTTTGTACTTGGCCGACTTGAAAGCAGTGCCGTGTGCTAAAATACTCGTAC